TCTTACAAAAATTTTTGCTGCTACAGCCAGAGAGGCGCAGCAGAGAGCAGCAGCAGCAGCAGCAGCAGCAACAGCAGCAGCAGCAGCAACACCAACAACAACGTCTTGCTGCAGTTTCTCAAATTATAATAAACGCAAACGGGGTGGTTCTGCTGCTGCAGCAACAGGCGGAGCAACAGCAACAACATCTGCAGCAGGAACAGCAGCAGCAGCAACAGCAGCAACAGCAGCAGCAGCAGCAGCAGCAGCATGTAAAATAGTAATTAGAGGCCTTGATGAACACTGCAGCGAAGATGAGGTGTACAGACACTTCAGCCCCTTTGGTGTGATCGTGGAGACCCGTGTAGCAGCAGCAGCAGCAGCAGCAGCAGCAGCAGCAGCAGGAGCAGGAGCAGCAAGAGCAGCAAAAGCAACTGTCTCCTTTGCTGATGCTGCTGCTGCAGCAAACGCCATCAAATATATGAATGGTGCTGCTATGGGGACAGCTAGAATTTCTGTTGAGCCTGCAGCAGCAACAGCAGCAGCAGCAGCAGCAGCAGCAGCAGCAGCAGCAGCAGCAGCAGAAGATGGAGGGGGAGGACACAGAATTAAAAGGTGGCAAGGCGGCTCCTGCTCAGCAGCAGCAGCACCAGCAACAGCAGCAGCAGCAGCAGCAGCAGCAGCAGCAGCAGCTCCAACGGAGACAGTCCCCTGGCAGGAAGACAGCTCGCGGTTTCTCCCGGGTTACTATCAGCAGCAGCAGCAGCAGCAGCAGCAGCAGTTGTTGCTGCTGCAGCAGCAACTACAGCAGCAGCAGCTGCAGCAGTTGCAACTGCAGCAGCTGTATCAGCAGCAGCAGCAGCAGCAGCAGGAGTACGGCGAGCATTATAAGCAGCAAGCAGCAGCATGGGCGGGAGAGGAGACAGGGGAAGCAGCAGCAGCAGCAGCAGCAGCAGCAGCAGCAGCAGCAGCAAAAGAAGCTGAGATATCTGGGGGTATTTTCAAAGACACAGATCCTTGTCTTGTTGCTGCTGATATGCTGCCGCAGTGTATGTACACCTCAGCAGCAGTAAAAAAACAAAAGACAATGGAGAGACATATATTCTGTCTGCTGCCGGTGCAGCTGTGTCTCCCTTTTTATAATATAGAAAAAGGAGACAGTTTCGTTCCTGTATTTGTTGATGATGAACTTGCTGCTGCTGCTGCTGCTGTTGCTGCAGCAAACGCATGCAAACTGCAGCAAAAAGCAGCAGCGGGGCTGCCACTGCTGCCACACGATCAAGAACTACTCTATGCTGAGGAGACACACACAGATGTCAACTGTCTCCTTTTTTAATTTATTATAAAATAAAATAAAATAAAATAAAATAAATACAAATACAGAGACAGAGACAGATGTATACTGTCTCCTTTTATAATATAAAACAAAGAAACAGAGACAGAGAGACAGAGACAGATGTCAACTGTCTCCTTTTTTTATTTATTATAAAATAAAATAAATACAAAGACAGAGACAGAGACAGAGACAGAGACAGATGTATACTGTCTCCTTTTATAATATAAAACAGAGACAGAGAGACAGAGACAGAGAGACAGAGACAGACGTTAGCTGTCTCCTTTTTTAATATAATATAAAACAAAGACAAAGACAGAGACAGATGTATACTGTCTCCTTTTCTTTATTTATAATATAAAGCAAAAGAGAGACAAAGACAGAAAAATATAAACTGTCTCCTTTTATAATAAAATATAAAACAGAGACACAGACAAAGACAGAGATAAACTTTCTCTGCTATTGAATCACAAAGACAGAAAAGGAGACAGAAAGGAGACAGAAAGGAGACAAAAAAGAGACAGAAAGGAGACAGAAAGGAGACAGAAAGGAGACAGAAAAAGAGACAGAAAGGAGACAGAAAGGAGACAGAGAAACAAACCAACACATAAAATATAAAGCGAGTTCAATAGGCAGGGGCCCACACTGGTGGGCCCCAAAAAGGGTACTGGGGGGCCCCCCAGAGGGTACTGGGGGGCCCCCCA